CCCAAGGAATCAGTGGCATTGACTGTTTTCCAGCCAAGGGCCTACATGGTGAGCACTGCTGTAAGAAGGGCTTCTCTCATATTATGTTCTTTAGTACCTTCTGAATTTGTATGAATAGCCTGAAACTAAATAAATCTAATTTTTAGAAGTTGTAGTCCTTGGGGAAAAGTTAGTAATTGGATTATTTCAAGTAGAGAAAATAAGAGCTCAGAGAAAGATGAGGTCATAAGACAAAGAGAAAGATGGGGGTAGTCATGGAGCCAAGGCAAAGAAGGACTGGATAAAAGGACTTTGTTGACATTTTTCTAGTACTTTCTATGGGCACAAAACTCTTATTCTTACAGTCTCTGCCTTTAAACCTATCTGCAGAGGGAAGAAAAGTAATCAGTTGTCACTGTTCCACAATAAGCAATCTCTTAAAACAACAAACTTTGTATTGTTTCCAAACTAGCTATTTGTCCAGTTTCCTAGATGGCTTATTCAGTACAGCACCTGAAAGCATCCTACACATGCTTCCTTTTCTCCTCCTCCTCTATATGCACAGCACAGAAAACTGGCCCAAGACCTTGGGCCCTACAGATTCCATGGGAGATATGATAAATAGCATTTTCATATTTATAATTTTTTTTTGGAGGGGTGCAGTGACTTTGCCTTGATTTTCCAGACCTAACTACTCATGTGAGAATAGGCAAAGTATATTTCTAAACTCACACTCTGGGGAAGTGCTGGTATGGCTTCCAGCAGGGTACCAGTGGGCACTGCCAGCTTGGCAAATGAAACCCCTGAAATTCTGGACAACATGGGAGACTGGCTGCGGGGTGTCTACTGCTTTGCCGCCAATAGGAATGACTTCTGGAGGAACTTGATCTTCAATTTGGGACTCTTCGCTGCAGGTGTTTGGCTGGCCAGAAACTTGAGTGACATTGATCTACTGGCACCTCAGCCCAATAGAGAAATGAAATTCCTACACTGTAGCCAAACCCTCCAAAATGAGAACCTACAGTCTGTGACCAGCACAAGATACACTCTGATGGCAGCTGAAATTGACTTATAGGGGCCTTTCCTCTTCTCTTCCCTCCTCAAACTGCATTCTCTGCTTAGCAGCCAGCCACAGCTAGTGCTGCCTCTGTTCTGTAAAGTTCTGTACATAGCCTGTTTCTATGGTGCTTAACAAATATTTGAAATAAAGACTGTACACAAAGAAAACAAAAACAAAAACACCTCACACTCTGAATCCTGAAGCTTTACTCAGGGATCCTTGGGAGTTCTTATGTATAGTGCAGGTGGAACCCTGTGTTTCTTGGTATAAGGGAACCTTACATAGCTCCTTTTCTCAGATCTGAAACTGCAGTCACAGGCCCATAAAGGCTCTCATGCTCTGTATGTGTTATTTTTTCCAGCTAAACCATTACAATTTTTAATTTATTATTTTTAAAAAGTTTATATATTTGGTACAGGGTCTTGCTACTCAGCTTGGACTCATAGTGATCCTCCTGTTTGCAGCCTCCTCAGTGCTGCAATTGCAGTACTGAGGATCGAACCTTGGTCACTGCCCTTGCCTGAGTAGGCGCTTGGTGTGCTGAGCTATCTCACTAGCCCTCAAACCGTTACTTTTGATAACTGTTCTTTTCTTCTTGAATATTAGTAGCCCAGAACTTAGCACCAGGTTTTGGATAAGCGCTTGATGAGTTGTAACTTATTTAATCCTCCCAAGAGTTCATAGCAGCTTTATTCAAGGTACTATTCAAGTTAGGTACCATTATTACAGTAATCAACCCTCCCTTTTTTAAAGTTAAAAATTCCTTAATTTCTTATTCCTGGTACCAGTATCACAATTTACAGGGCAATATACTTGATGTAATGAAAAGAAAGAAAAAGACAAAAGACAGATAAAAGACCTTACGAATATACATCTAAATGATACTACAATGTATTAATCAATAGCTGCTCTTTTTGCAAACTGTGGCTATGACAGTCCTGAACCAGAAGGGTTTCCTGTTTAAGCTGCAGTAACTTTTCTGACTATGAATCATCATTCCTGTGGCAGATTTTTAGTTCCTCCAATGCATTTGGGACAACTGTCTCAAAGTAACCTGCAGCTTTTCTGACAACTTGCTCTCTCTCCTGCTAAGAATCATAGCCCTTTTCTTTCTTTCTTTCTTTCTTTCTTTCTTTCTTTCTTTCTTTCTTTCTTTCTTTCTTTCTTTCTTTCTTTCTTTCTTTCTTTTTCTTTCTTTCTT